TGTCCGTTTGACTTGTATCATTGCATGTCCGTTTGACTTGTATCATCATTATGTGTCCGTTTGACCTGTATTATAGCATGTCTGTTTGACTAATATGATAGTGTATGAAACGATACAATATTATACAATACGTTGTAATAGGATAACTTTAACATATTATGTATCATAATAATATTATCATATCATGTTTTAATGAAGGTATGTAGAATGTGTCTGAATAGGAATGTTTAACATTATAACCTCAATGATATTACAGTTTTAATGGGAGTTACTGTCTCATTGTTTTGGGATTAGTGTAAACAAGTATAGAATACAATACAATCTATCTACGTAACTAATAGATAATTTATAAAAGTATGGAACAAAAAGTTCAAGATAAGTTTAATTTCAATATAAAATTCCATTTATTTCTCCTTCAGATGGGAGAGAAACGTTAATAAATAATGTTGTTGCTCGTGGATTGATAATCTTCTAGCGAATAAAATGCTTGTTAAGCAATTTCACAATGTCAGCACGAAGTCGACATCCGTCTGCTATCAGCACTTAATTATTTATGAAAAAAACAAGAGAGGAAGGTATTGATAAAACAAAAAGCAATATCTGAAAGATGCAATTAATGAGGTTTTTCTTCAGGCATCATCCCGTAATTGTGTCGAGTAATGTCTTTCTGTGTTTTGTATATGTTTCATGCGAATGGTTAGCAGTTGATAAAGATATATATGTACATCGTCAGTGGACCATTGTGTGTATGTTTTAGATTAAGCTGTTACATGTTTATATGAGTATATATATATATACCTCATATCAATTTTTTTTTCTTCTCATAATATTGTCATCTAAATACTTTAATATAAATATAGATATATATAGAAGCAAACTGTAAATATTGCTCTGATGATGTGCAAAAAACATATATTTTCTTGTTTCTTCGCCTAACACATTAATTACGTAAACAAGTTTTGTATCTTTATAATGAACATTTTGTTATTTAAACTTGCCTGGGAAGGGCCTTCATTAATGTTGGTAAAACTTGTGGCCCAACCCATTTGCTTCAAACTGTTAACATACATGTTTCCTTATTCGTATTTATTGTATTCTGTTTTGTATTAATGTAATCTTTATGTTACATGTACATGTTTCAAGCAATAAAATATGATTAAATCAATCAAAATAAAACATACATACAATGATCCACTGACGATGTACATGGAACCAAGTTATTAAATTATAGCTGACAAGTTCAGCGTATATTTTATTTCTTGTAAATAAAAATGCCCAGAACTAAACATTGCTTTGGGAATAGACAATGGTGACGGCCAACGGAATTTATAAAGGAAAGCATTATATCATTTTCATTAAACTTGTAGTTTCCACCTTAATTTTTTATTCACTTTTCTACTCACAAGAATTACGACAAAACAGCAGTGTAATATTCACAAAAGCCAGTTCAATGTACTTATTTTAGGACAGATGCTTACTTGTTTACTTAGCACGACAATATGATAAGTGTATTTTCAACAAAATAGCTTTTTATTGGCCAACAAAAAAGGTACCTTATATCTGATGTTAATAGAGAATGTCAGCTGTCTGACGGACCAGGCTGCAGAAAATTACTGCCGCACGGTAACGCTATTTTTGTCCAATCCTGTAAGGGGAGATCACTGCGTGGGTTTAGGGAGATTGAAAATTACTAACACTACTGGAAAGGGGAGATAATGAGAAAGCAACGACGATATCAGTGAACATGTACAGACTGTAGACTCGGCTAGATTGTTTGTTTATGGTGCAAAATCTCTGACACCCTCGCGCGGGCTTAGGCAGTATTCAATCTCTAATACTCATGTATATGATCCTGATGGACCAGAAATGTATATACCAACATGGGCATGAACTATGTCATTTTTTTACAGTTGCAACATACAGCAACTACTGTTGTGAATATTAAACGCTGGAAAAAGGATATTCTTAAAGAACATTCACAACAAAAGTATTAAGGTGACGATAGTTGGAAAATAAGTTAATAAGATATTTCACTAACATTATATAAAAGTCCACCCAGAACAAAATTTTAAAACTATTTCTACGATTTTTAACTGGGAATCCATTTTTTTTTATAATAGCAAAGAATATAATATCCTTTAATATTTCATATTATCTGACTCCAAGTGAAAATCTTTAATACTAAATCTATACAATATTATTCAGTCGGCATTTATTCCCAAAAAACATCTAGAAATAACGTTAGTCAAACGGCAGAATATCTTACACATGAACAAGGCCCGTATTCAGAAACGATACTTGATCTCAATCTCGACTATAACTCACGAATTAATTATGTAAAAAAAAAAAAGATTTTAAATACATGACTGATAAAACAAAAGCACAAGGAGAATTTTAAAGAGAATTTAATAGTTTTCAAGTAGTTAATGCCAAGCAAAATAATGTTGGATAACCTATAAGACAGGACGAAAAAGGGAAGCTAAAGAAAGTAGTGAAAGGCTTCTAACAGGTATTTAGAACTGAAAAAAAATTCAATAGCGTAAACTATATTTTGAAAGTAACATCCAATTCTTTAGGTCAATGAATTTTTTTGCAATACACAATTTTGTTTTCTTTTTTTTAATCATCTTATTACATTTTTAAAGGCCCATTATGCCTCAGAAATTCTATCATTTTATTTCTCAAAATTTCAAGTTTTGCGAAAGTTATAATCATATTGCATTATCATTTTGTATGGAAGTCAAAATACTACATTGTTTACATTTTTACCATCATAAGATGTATATATATATATATATATATATACGTTAAGTGCAACTTTAAATATTTTTTAATTATTTTTAAAGAATTAAAATAGAAAGAGGCATTGAAAGTATTGATTCTGAATACGGGCCTTAACAAGCAAATATACTTTACATACTGTATCATAACTCTACTTATTTTAAAACAGCCAACAATCAATAGCTGAACTCTCTACGGAGAATTCAAAATTGTTTCTCATTCAAATACAATATTATTTTTCTTGGGCCCCTATTTAGAAAACGATATTTTTCACTAAATCATTTAGTAAACCTTAAATTTTCTAAAGGTCAAAGGGGCAGTCCCCCAAATTTTAAATAAAAATTGGGGATTGATTATAAAGTTAAAATGTCCCAAATGGGAAAATCAGGTAAATTGGAAACTGTGAGATTAGGAAGGGCTACCTTGAGGTGTTTCCCCAAAATTTGATAATACTTGGGAAAACCAAATTTTGTTTTGAGTGTTTATTTTTGAATTTAAAATTTTTCCCCCTTTCATGTAAATGCATCATATTTCGCGACCTAAAAGTATTTTTAGGAAAAGATCTTAAAGGGAAAAGAAGATCCCATTTAATTTATGTCACAAGTTCAATTTTATCAGAAATTTGATGTTAAAAGGAGTGTGTATATATTATACTCGGAATGATACAAGTAGTATGATCTGTTATAACTCTAAGAGTGTATTCAGCTCACGAGATATCAGTACTTATGCCAAAAAGAAGTGAATTTATACGATTTCAACTTGGAAATTTCTTGAAGTTCTTTTATTCCATGAAAATGTGTTTGTCATTCTGACCGTAGATGATTCTGGACTCAAGTCCTCGGATGATTTGTCTTATACGTCTAAATATAGGCTTATATAAATATTTATGTTTTAAACAAATGCCATTTAAATATTTATTGATTCATTTTTAAAATATAAAAATAACAGTTAGATACAATTTATATCACACTCTTTGAATTTTGAGATTGACATAGAATTCCCAATCTGTACATTTAAAGATATTTCAAAGGAAACATGACAGAAAAATATCTCCATGGCGTCATGAATAAAGTCAACATTGATGACGTCTGAGTATTTTAATTAAAAAAAACTATTAAATCTTTTGACATTTGTTTAGCATGATTTATATATTTTACTAAACGAGTAATGGTGTTCCATTATTTAGATCCACTTTGTAACTTTAATATTTAACTGTACATGTATAATGTTTCGACCGCTTCAGTCATCAGGTATTCAAGCATCACAATCAAACAGTGTATGATTATACCCTTTGCAAAAAGGGGGGATAGTTCAGAACTGTTTTACAAGATACCAGAATTGAAAAATTTTGAGAAATAAAATGATAGAATTTCTGCGGCATAATGGGCCTTTAAAAATGTCATAAGATGATTAAGAAAAGAAAACACAAGTGTGTATTGAAAATGCTTTTCATTTACATAAAAAATCGATGCTACTTTCAAAATAAAGTTAACGCTATTCAAATGTATGTTTTAGTTCTAAATGCCTTTCAGAAGCCTTTCACTACTTTCTTTATCGTCCTGTCTTTCAGGTTTTCCAACATTGTTTGGCTATTCTGGTTTCCTTTACATTAAGATTTTTAATACATGTAATTAATAATTTTAACTTTTTTTTCCACTTCGGTGAAATACACTCTTTTACACTACATGGTTACACTTTTACAATGTATATTGAATGATGTTATTCGGTCAACTTTTGAAGTCTCCGGTTGAGTAAACAAAACGAATACCACTTTCTGGCCACATTGTTGAATTACTTATCGTTTAAGTCTACTCCGTGTTTATCTGAGAGACCTTTTTTTGTGGAGTTTGGAGTCGAGAAAATTGAGATTAAATATCGTTTTCCTGAATACGGGCAATTTTTCACGTTTGTAATTGTTAGGTAGTCATTTAGTTTATATTACATTACGATTTTACCTTACGCTATAAATGTATTTACACACGTTGCCAGGCAACTTACCGGCGACATGGTTGAGCTGGTTTATTTAATTTTTCGCCTGTGTTTGATTTTGGCGGGGATGTGCACGTGAAAAGTATGATACATGTATATGTACTATATGTGTGTAAAATAATCATTCGAGGATTTGCTTTTCGGCTGTTCAGACGAGTTTTATCTTAACTTTACATCTAAATTCAAGAATGAACTCGGACAGTTTTATATGACATAAAATCGTATTTTGATGCTAAGTTTTGCAGCTTTTAAGAGAGAGATATGCAAAGGAAGTGTTGCCAAAACTCAAAAATCCACTGTTTTGAAAAACAAAGGGAATCAGATACAGTTGGATCATAACTGTGAGCTGTTGGATTGCATTGTTCAAATTAGCGGACAGATTGAGTCAGGGGAACACAGTGAGGTGCTCGAGTTGTGTGAGACTGCTAAGAAAAAGATTGAACGTCGCAATAAACTGATAAAAAACTGGCAGACAAGTCACCTAGTGGTTGGTTTACTGTACACGAATATGAGCAAGACGATTTAGCCAGCGATGATGAGGATTTAAAGAGAATTAAAAAGGCTGAGAAAGCAGCTGCGTCCATTATCAAACAGCGCAATGAAGCAAAGAAAGCGAACAGAAGGTTCATAAATGGTAAGTTTAGTTTAGTCAGTTGAGTCTGCAAAACAAGTAAACACGTGAAAGTGTGTAAAGCTATGGGTGTTCTGATTGTACTAAGGTGGCTGTCCGCTGATTACTGGTCTTTTGTTATTTGAAGATAACAGTTTTACAGGGAAAAACTATGTTAAGGATGTCTCAGAATTTTGTGACAGAAAAATAAATGTTCATGGTAAAAACAAAAGAACTCTTTTTGGTTCTAGAAAGTTAAAGGGGTTTGTTTTGGCAGTTAAACTTGATTCCAGATCATTAAAATAATTATCACGTTAAATTTGTAATCAAGTATTACCGGAAGGACTATTAAGTTTCATGGGTAGACGGTCGGAAGGACCAAAGTCTGGCCGGAAGGGCCTAAGTCTGGCCGGAAGGGCCTAAGTATGGCCGGAAGGGCCCAAGTATGACCGGAAGGGTCAGGACATATGCTTATGTGCAAAAAAAAACAAAAACAAAAAAACACCTATTTTTGCAGAAATTATTGGAGATACGTGTATGTTTTTATTACATGACAAAGATAATTGTTCTTTATATCATTTAAGATCAGTTTCAATTGTAATCATAGGGTTTTCAGGATTTTGAGGATCGGAGAACTGTTAAATTTAAGATGTACTGATGTTATTACATTCAATGATGATAATTGAGCCGCGTCACGACAAAACCAACCTAATGGGTTTGCGACCAGCATGGACTCAGACCAGCCTGCGCATCCGCATCCGCATACTTAATATTGTACATACGGTCTAGTAAAACTGATCAGTTAAGTCGTGGTTCTTCAGTTGTTATTTCAAAATCAACTGTTGTTACATGTCCATATACAACATTACAACTTTATTTTTCAAATTCTGATTTATCAAACGATAGTGAAGAACATGTTTTTCGGTCTTTACCTTCATGTTAGAAAACTAACTCTTTTAGATTGAAGAAATGAGGTTGCTTATCTTATACTCGAGTTAGGGAACTGTTACGTGACATGCTTGTCGAAGTAGGCTTAAACGCTAATGATTATGGGACTCGCAGTTTAAAACGCTGTTAATAATGTATGTGATAGACTTATTAAAAAGCACGGGGGATGGAAAAGTGAGCATGCGAAAGACAGTTATGTGTCTGAGGATATTAATTCGATTCTCAGCGTTTTAAAAATCTAGGATTGTAATTCAGTTTCGTTTCAGTTATTGTTTGGTTTTATTAACCTGTCAATTCCATACTAATTACACGGTCAATGCACACAATATATTAATCTTCGAAAGATTTTCGGTAATTTCCGTGAGATGTACTCAGTGAGATTTGATTAAATATAATTTGTGCCTATGGAGCAATTATACTGAGCGGTATAGCGGAATTGGGTAAGCTACAGGTTAATGATTTCTAAGTGTCCTAATTGTTGTGAGACCGAGACCGCGTACCTCCAATGTTTTTTTTTTTTTTTTTTTTTTTTTTTTTTTTTTTTTGCTTTTTTTTCCTGCTTCTTCTTCTTATAACTATTTTCAACATTATCGGAACTATATTTGCTTGTTATGTTGCTCGTTTTGATTAAATATGTTTAGCGATTAAATTCCTTTTAAATAACATGCTTTCAGAATTAAAATTTATAATGAATTCGGATTAAAATTAGAAAATGTCATTTCAATGGCGTAAAACACAATACAAATTGAGACAATATTTCTTAGTTGATTCATATATGTGTAGACAATAAGCACTCGGCCATTTTCATGAAAATATACTGCAAAAATAAAGAAAAAGAGTAGGCCTTAAAACAACGGCAAAAGTAGGGATCGAACTACATACCTATATTAGACATATATTAGACAATCACTCTATCGTCTCTGCTATCGCGGATTTGACATGGCCTATGCATAAAGCTGGTCTGACTTTTCATAACATTAGTTATTTACTCCATATTAATTCTCGTAAACTACACGGACAGAACCGAAGTGACATCGAATATTTAAATGAGTGCTAATGTATTCAAAATTGACAGGTCAATAGGATCAGACTATAATAGCGTTATTTGTCCCGTTCTTTAAAATTCGACGCTGGAACAATCGCTCTTAGCCAATTGAATATAAATTGTTTATTTGTTTTGTTGTAGTGTAGTATATGTAAGTTGATGGGCTTAAGCTTGTAAATGATTTATGCTCGGTTGAAAGAATTGAATTAGAGCATAAATGTATTTACACACGTTGCCAGGCAACTTACCGCGTACATGGTTGAGCTGGGTTATAATTTTCGCCTGTGTTTGATTTTGGCGGGGATGTGCACGTGAAAAGTATGATACATGTATATGTACTATATGTGTGTAAAATAATCATTCGAGGATTTGCTTTTCGGCTGTTCAGACGAGTTTTATCTTAACTTTACATTATTTAGAAAATAACGGTAGTTTATGTAGATTATAATGTCGTAAGATACACGGTTTTTTCAATCACTGTGTATAAATATAGTATTTAAAAATCAATGCATATAAACAATCTTGTTTTTCTAGTTTCAGATTCTGATGTATGATATGCCAGGAATGCTTGTTTAAAAAAAAAAATAAATAGATGTTTCGGGGGACGAGAAGACGTCCATGCTGGTCTTGAGCCACAGGATCTTCCCACCTCCCCCTCCTAAAAATAAGTAAAAGGAGTTAGGGTTGGGTGGCCTGCTCGCAGCATCCCGTTTTAAGAGTTCATGAATATATTATATGATTGTATTTTTGTATGTGTATACTTTATTGTAAATTCAAACATTGAATAAAGGAGTGATTATTATTTAAATTTAAGAGGCATTTTTCTTGTAAATTTTTCTCGTTTTTGTTTTTGTAGAACAAAGTAACAGGGTCATTTTATCAAATTACTAATTATCTTTAATCATGTGCCGAAAACATGTGTCTAACAGTCAAGTTTTCTTTGTGAATTCGATTTTTCAATTAAAGATGTTCTGTTATTTGTTGTATGGGTTTCCATTTTTGTTAGTTAACGACCTATATGCCTGTCATGAATTACATCTAATGAGTAAATATGTTTGTTTTAATTTTTCGTTGAATGATACGAAATCAGTTTAAGTTTAACCCGTCATTTGTATAATGTCATAGTGGTTTTGATACGAATAAGTTATGTTTCTTTCTGTGTATAAACTCGTCAAATAAACGGCTGGAACAATCGCTCTTAGCCAATTGAATATAAATTGTTTATTTGTTTTGTTGTAGTGTAGTATATGTAAGTTGATGGGCTTAAGCTTGTAAATGATTTATGCTCAGTTGAAAGAATTGAATTAGAGCATAAGTTCATTTCTTGACTACAATTATAGTGAAAGAGATGGTTTTTTGTTTTTGTTTTGTTGTTGTTTTTTTATTGTTTTTTGTTGTTGTTTTTTGTTAGTTTTAGTGTGTGTTTAATTTGTGTCCATTTTACAACTAGCGTAAACAAATCGCACAATGCAACATGTAAACGTAGCAATCATATAGCCTCATATTTGTGTGCGTGTATCTTTGTTTCTGTGTTTCTTTTCTTCAAAATATCGTGCGCGTGCCAAGTGTGTCGTGCGTGCTAATTATACATGGCAAATTTGACAAAACATCTTTTTTGTCAGTCAGACTGGTTTCAGCTTGATCTTCAGTATTTCAAAATTGAATTTCTCTGCGTTTATCACATTTATATATAATTCGTATTGTGTTGGTTTTTTTTATCTATTTGTCCTATTGAAACTTGAAACTTTTTATTTAATTAAACGCCTGTTTCTATTTAACAATATTCAACGGCGTTGTACAGTACATATAAATAATAAGAATAAAATTTGTCCTATTCATATAATTCGTTTATAATTCGTATGTATGTGATATGTGGCAACAGTATCATTTGTGGGGCTATTTGTATTCACGACGCTTTATTGATTGTGAAACTGATCCGCTAATCGAATTGTCGCTTAGTCTATCGTTCATAATTTAATTTGTATTTCATTACCGTTGTGCTCTGAAAGACTGAAAATATTTAGATATTACACGATTAGTTAAAAATGAATTATAGATGATTATAGTGTTTAGTAAGAATTTGACAATAACCGAGTATTGACACCGTGGACAGTAATAAAGAACTAAAGAGTACATCAAATGATATAGTGATGATATTGATGATGATAATGTTCCGGTTGTTATTGTTGTCGTTGTATATGAAAATGATGATGATGATGATGATGAAGTTGTTGTTGTTGTTGTTGTTGTTGTTTATGATAATGATGATGATGATCATGATGAAGTTGTTGTTGTTTATGATAATGATAATGATGATGATGAAGTTGTTGTTGTTGTTGTTGTTGTTGTTGTTGTTGTTGTTGTTTATGATAATGATGATGATGATGAAGTTGTTGTTGTTTATGATAATGATAATAATGATGATGAAGTTGTTGTTGTTGTTGTTGTTTATGATAATGATGATGAAGTTGTTGTTGTTTATGATAATGATGAAGATGATGAAGTTGTTGTTGTTGTTTATGATAATGATGATGATGATGATGAAGTTGTTGTTGTTGTTGTTTATGATAATGATGATGATGATGAAGTTGTTGTTGTTGTTGTTTATGATAATGATGATGATGATGAAGTTGTTGTTGTTGTTGTTTATGATAATGATGATGATGATGAAGTTGTTGTTTCTGTTGTTTATTATTATTATTGCTAACATGTAAGTTCCTAAACAGATAACAAGAAAAACACAAAAGACTGGTATTCAAATTCATATAAAAACGGAATACTACATATTTCCAAATGAAAAGAAAATAATAAAAAAAAATCCTGCAAATTCTCTTCGATGAATCAACATGAAATTTGATCAAGATAGTTCATTACTTTGCTTTGTAGAACATTTCGTTGCCAATATACAAATCTGTAGGTTCACATTTATTTTAAGATGTAAAATTAGATTAAAGAAAAATAGTTCTTTGGTACCAATATTTATCTGGAATGATTGCATGACAATTTATAGTCAAGAGTATTGTATCTTAGGTAGGAAATGATAATTATGGTCAATAAATTTTGTGAATGTACCCTTGTCAAAATCTTTAACCCATTACTTCATGAGAATTTGTGAAAAATGGCTGTTTTCATTGAAAAATCTCCCGTTACAAGTTCAAATTGCTATAAAACTACTTCAACACTAATCAATCTTGGCACAAATGTTGACTGGACCATTGCCTTTGTAACAACATGCTCAGACTTAAATTTCCTGTTACCATGGCAACGAGGGAGGGGACATCTCAAAATTGCCCAAAATCATTATTTTGCGTTGGCTTTTTCCATCAAAATTGATTTCAAAGTGCTGCAACTTCTCAATGGATTGAGATAGAGTCAAATGCTTTTCAGCGTTGGTTACACGTTACCTTATGATCGATCTGGTGTCATTTTTAGCCTCTCACAAGTCCAAAATTTTCTTGACGATGAGGGGGACTGCCGCCCCTTCAAACCCCCAAACAGAAGGGGGCACATCCCCTTTCTGGCAACCACTTGATGTACCTTTTGGATGGGGGGGGCGGCGCCGAAAAAGTGGTCACTTTTTTATCAACATTTCTCAAACGAAAACATGTGTTTGGGGCCAAAATAGGACATTTTTTCACTATTTGAGGCCTAAAAGATTGGGGGGGGGGTCGAAAGTGCGTTGTTTCGCGTATATATGAGGTAAAGGGTTAATTACACTTTAATATCTAATTGTACACCATGAATCTAATCATAGCTTTCCTTAAAACGGAAGTCAACAATTATTCTTGTATTTGTATGAAACCATATATGGTTTGACCAGCCGATTTTCCCTAATGGAAAACTTTTTTTTTCCTTTGCATAGCAAGATTCTGAAATGGAACACCATTCGAGCCGGCTCCATATGACGTTAATTCCGTCCATGCGGTCAAAAACACGTGTGGTCATGTAGAGGGGGTGGTCACCACAAAATAATTAGCTGTCACGATACTAAAGACAACAAGCTAGTGTTCATTAACAACACAAGTCTGCAACTTTACTTTTTACCTCTCCGCTATTTACACGTTGAACAAAATTCCTATCAGAATCAGATTTTAATTAAAAGTAAACCATCGTGTAGAAAATACATTTTTGCAAATTTTGATACCAAATTATTAACATTGTGATTAAATTAGTATGCAGAATTTCTTAGGAAGCAAGTGTAAACTTTCTTTTGCAACTCAGTTTATAACAGCTCACCCTGTAGCTGTTGTATTTGTAAAACACATGGTATATACGCTTAACAATACTGTTCATTATCTTATAAATTAAATGATCAAGTTTTAAAATTTAAAATTCTGTTTGAGAATCTCATGTATTACTGTTTAAATAGTTTTATTTGAATATTTCTAATTGATATAATAATAAGAAAATAACCGAGAACGTGTCGTATGATCTTTATGTCCAATGAATGTTTTATATCATATTGCTATCTTGTTAATAGGCAAGTCGAAGTATTTATATTAGTCTCCGCTTAGCAAAAGTTCCGCAAAAACAATCAATTAATACTTCATTATACAGAGCTGTCTTCACTGTCTAAATATCTTATCTTAATACAGTACGTATACAAGAAAAGCATTGATGCAAAGCATCAAAGGGCGTCCAAGCAAGAAATGCAGCAAGTGAAGATGAACTAGTACACATATGATGACAAGATATTCTTATAAACTACCAGAAATGTATACCACTTATGAATGAGCGGACGAAAGACATTGTTCATTATGAACTTTGATTGGCATGCTAGAGATTAGAATATTACTTGTTATTTCTTTATGATCGTGGTTATTAATAGCAACGGATATACATGTATGCAATCATTTATAATCCATATGTGTAACGCATGATCAACACGTACCACACATTTGTCCCTTATTATGTACATGTTATCGCTATTAGCGAAGACCCCCTTAATTAAGGTATCTGTTCACACTTTAAGTTAGTAAAAATATGACACTGGTTATATTACCATGTTGATCATGTTGAGCATAATTGTTTATTATACAATAATTGTAATATCTATTAATTTTAATTTAAAAAAAATACAAATTTTATGAATATTGTTTTCTTTTATTCTTTTTTGTGTTTTATGTGCTATTTTAATACTGAGTTTTTACTACTCTTTTTTATTAAAATTGTAAAATAAATTTTAAGAATTCAATTGTCATATTGACCGACGATTATAAGTAAAAGCTTAACTGGAAAAAGTCAGTAAATTATGGTTTATCTTTCAATATATAATATTGTTTATTCTTAAACCATGTACATGTACATTGTATTTTTCTTTATCATTTTTTAAATTATCGATCAATTGAATAATTCATAAAATCTAATTTGTAACTTTGAATAATTCCTCGGCATCTTTACTAAACACGGATAACAAATTGAATAATTAAATAAAATGTTTCAAAGTTGATAATGTCATTTTAATACCATAAAAAATGTACCTTTTTCTCAATTATTGTACATATCACGGATTTATATTACATATAAATCCGTGTACATATTTATTGTTTTTATCTCATATAGATAAAATGAAACATGCTATTGTTGTT